TACTAGCCAAAATAAAGTGATATTATTGTATTAATAACTGACAAAAATCAATATTTAGGCAAAATGCTTACAAGAGTTTAAAAGGTCACTTTATAGTGAAAAATCTTCAACTTTATAAAAATTCTAAACCATATATCCCTAATAATATAATCTCAATGTACATTAAACACAAGTTTGACAAAACTATAAACAAAAATTGAAAAGTCCATTATCATAATGAGACATTTTAAAACAACTCTCTCAGTAAATGTTAGGAAACACAGTCCCCCCCAAAAATCTATAAAATATAGAAAATTTGAGCACTGCATGATCTAACTGACATGTATTAGACATTACATTGAAACTTGTATATCTTCTTTGTATGTACATAGAGCAATGAAAAAGTGCTAAGCTAAAAAGCTGGCCTCAATTAATATAAGGGATTGGGGTCATTCAGATCACTTTTTGTTATTACAATGCAATTTAATGAGAAATCAATAACAAAAATATAACTAGGAAACCCAACAGGTTTGGAAACTATTTTCTTAAAATCAGTGTAGAAACTAGAAAATAAGTAGAACTTAAAGACAATAAAAAATACATTACAAAAAACCTGTGGAATTGCACTAAAAGGGCATTTAAAAATTTCTATACTTAGAAAACAAGAAAGGGTAAGAATTTCTCTTTTTAAATTTTATTTAATTATTTATGTATTTTATTAATATAGAGATGAGGTCACACTATGTTGCCTAGGCTGGTCTCCAGTGATCCTCCTACCTCAGCTTCCCAAAGTGTTGGGATTACAGGCATGACAGGGTAATTACAGGTGGGTGAATCGCAAGCTCAGGAGTTCGAGACCAGCCTGACCAACATGGTGAACCCTCATCTCACTAAAAATACAAAAACTAGCCAGGCATGGTGGTGCGCACCTGTAATCCCAGCTACTCAAGAGGCTGAGGCAGGAGAATTGCTTGAACCTGGGAGGCAGAGATTGCACTGAGCCAAGATCACGCCACTGCACTCCAGCCAGGGTGACAGAGTGAGACTCTGCCTCCCCACCCCCCAAAAAAAGATTAATAGTAAAGTATCTCCTGGCAAATAAAACTGAAGGTCCAGCCAGTTCTTTACAAGAGTTATACCAAGCTTTCCAGCAAAGAGATTACCCCAATATTATCGGAATAGAATAGGAAAAATAAGGAACAGCTACATCTCCTAAAAGCCATAGCTATAAAATTCTAGAGAACAATAATAGGAGCACTCCTGTGACCTGAAAAGAGAGAAGGATTCCTTAAACAAGATGCAAAATGTGCTCCATTATAATGGATAAAGTAGCTGAAAATCCACCCATATTAAAATGGAGAATTTAGATTGGCGTAATCACTTTGGAAATATTTTGACAATATTTAGTAAATTTAAAGATTCATGTATTCTGCAAACCTGCATTTTATTCTTATGTGTATACCCTTAAAAGACTTATGTGCTTCTGAAGATGTATAAGAATGAGCATAAAAACATCATTCTAATCATGAAAACTAGAAACAATGCAAATGTCCAATTACAGTAACAAGAATATATAAAGTGTAGCAGCAGATTCCCACAGTGGAATATTATTTATCAGTGAAAAGGAATAAACGACTGCTACATGAAGACACATGGGAGTCTCAAAAGCATAAAAAACAATCTCAAAAGATTGTTTCTCTGTGGCCATGAGAAACAATCACAGAAGACTTTATACAGTATGATTTCCTGTGTGTAAAGCCTTTAGATAAATGAAACAGTCAAAACTAAAAACACAATTTGGGATGCATGCAGATCATATTTTGTTGATGCTAAGCCATGTCTCTTTTTTTGACATTTCAAACACTTTTCAAAATTGAGATTCATTTTGTAACCAAAATTTTGTAACCAAACCATTCATTTTGTGAGTCTCCTAGAGTTGAAATAATAATGTATCTTACAATGCTGGGAGCTTAAGTTCAATGAAATATAGTAGGAAGTAGAACTATAAAGAAAAGCATGAGAATGATTAACATAAAATTTGGGATACCTATGATTACGTATGTCTGGGAGGGAGGAGGCTACAGGAAGGAAGGGGAAGCAAGGAGAATTCTATATACTGACCATGTGCTATTTTTCACCAAGGTACAGTATATTGGTGGTATTATTATTATTATTATTATTTTGAGGCAGGGTCTCACTCTGTTGCCCAGGCTGGAGTGCAGTGGCACAATCTCGGGTCACTGCAACCTCCGCCTCCCAGGTTCAAGCTATTCTCCCACCTCAGCCTCCCCGAGTAGCTGGGACTACAGGACTGCACCACCACGCTTGGCTAATTTTTTGTATTTTTGGTAGAGATGGGGCTTTGCCATGTTGGACAGGCTGGTCTCACACTCCTGGCCTCATGTGGCCCCTACCCCCGCCTCAGCCTCCCAAAGTGCTGGGATTACGAATGTGAGCCACCGCGCCCAGCCTGCTTTGTTATTATTCTTTAAATAGGTTAGTTTCTCACATGTATAAATATATTTCACAATTTTTTAAAAAAAGAGTGAATGAGGCGAGTAGGTGGAGACACACATATAGTAACTCAGGAAGCTGGACAGTAAAGGGGAGAAAAGAGTGAGGCAGCCATTGCGGGAGGATGTGGAGGAAACTACAGGAAATAACTGGAAAGACTGAAGAGCTAGGAGGCATCCAAGCTGTCACATGTGGAGAAATTGGCCCTTCAGGGAGATACCTTCTATATTTTAGCAAGAAGGACAAAGGGGAGAATGGGCTTACAGAATTTGCAGTGAAATTTTCTCATGTTTCCCCTGTGATGGTTTATATTTTCTTCACAAAGAATTTATCTATGGGCTGGTATAGTTACCAGGAATGGCAGAGATGGGCAAATGGCATGAGGGGGTAGGCATCTAAAAGGAAAACGTGTGTTCAGCAGTTATCCCATGCCAGGTACTCAACTAAGAGCTTTTTGCATCCATCATTCCATTTGTTGCTCTCATTAACACTACGAGGTATATATTCTTTCATGATGTCTGTAACAGTTTCCTAGGGCCATAGGAAAATAACAAAATCCCACAGACTAGATGACTTAAATAACAGAAATGTATTTTCTCCCAGTTCTGGAGGCTTGTGATCCAAGAGCAGGTGTGGGCAGGTTGTTTTCTCCTGAGGCCTTTCTCCTTAGTCTGTGGGTGGCTGCCCTCTGCGCGTGCACATCCCTGGCATTTCCCCGTGTGCTTAATCTCCTCTCCTTTAAGGACACCCATCAGACTGAATCAGCTAAAGTCCTCATTTTAACTTAATCACCTCTTTAAATGCAGTCACATTCTGAGGTGCTGGGGGTTGGAGCTTGAACTTATGAATTGTGGGCGACACAATTCTGGCCATCACAATGCCCATTTTGGAGAGAAGGATCTAGAGACACAGAAAGGTCAAACAGCTTGCAGCTCCTCAGCACCAGAACTGGGATGCAGACGCAGGCAGGTCAACTGCGGTGACTGAACACCAACCATTCCTCCACACATCTAGTTTTGGGCCTGGAAGAGTGAAAGGTCTTTTGGAGAATTAAAAAAAAAAAAAAAACAAAAAAAAAAAAACCAAAAAAAAACACCAAAAAACAGAACAGAATAAAGGAATAATATTCTCAGGCTTTTCTGAGTTGTGCAATCTGTCCCAGGAAACAGAATGGAGCTGAATGCTCCAGGAGCCAGGATGGATGGTCCTCTCATAGGCTCCCTTTTAAAATCTGGGCTTTAAGGAGAAAGATGTAAATCTCGGCTAAAACGGCAGGAAAGCTCAACAACTTAGCATGGGCTGAAATCCACTGATCCCTGCTCTGGAGGGACCAGGTGTAAGTTATGGGCTGAGAAGGGTGACACCTGCTGGGCACCGAGGACAAGAATAGGTGGGACCTGGCTCCTGTCATATGTGGTCCCTTGCTGCCCTCTTCTGGCAAGAATTGGGAATACGCAGGAAGCTGCGGGTAGCCCTACTTCCTCCAAAACCCACAAATCTCCTGGGAAAGACGGAAAGAATATACTGGAATCAGAGTGTGGCGCATGTCAGTTCCTCCCTCTCCACATACATACACACATATTACAGTCAATTTTCACTTTTTAGCATTCTGTGACTGTGTAGCTGTTTTAAAAGTTGCTTAAGATGGGTTTTTTTGTTTTGTTTTGTTGCTTTTTTTTTTTTTTTTGAGACAGAGTCTCGCTCTGTCTCCCGCGCTAGAGTGCAGTGGCGCCATCTCGGCTCACTACAAGCTCCGCCTCCCGGGTACAAGCGATTCTCCTGCCTCAGCCTCCCAAGTAGCTGGGATTACAGGTGCACACCACCATGCCTGTCTAATTTTTGCATTTTTAGCAGAGACGGGATTTCACCATGTTGGCCAGGCTGGTCTCGAACTCCTGGCCTCAAAGGATCCGCCCACTTAGGCCTCCCAAAGTGCTGGGATTACAGGCGTCAGCCACCCTGCCCGGCCAAGGTTAAATTTAAAAACTTATTACATTTGCCACCTTTTCAAAGATGATGTTTCTTAAGATACAAGAATATGAGAATTAAAATACAAGTTTTGATGATTTAACAAAATGCTAGTTTGTTCATCATTTCATATGCTCTTTTTTAATTTTTTATTTTTTTAGAGACAGGGTCTCCCTCCCGGTGACTCCATCACCCAGGCTGGAGTGCAGTGGTACAATCAAAGCTCACTGCAGCCTCAAACTCCTGGTCTCTATCCTCTCATCTCAGCCTCCTGAGCACCACATCTGGCTTATTTTTAAATTTTTTGTAAAGATGGGGTGTCAGTGTCTGGCTATGTTGCCCAGGCTGGTCTTGAATTCCTGGTCTCAAGTGACCCTCCTGTCTCAGCCTCCCACAGAGCTGGGATTACAGGCATGAGCCACTGCACCAGGCCTTTATGTTTTCAAAAATTGTAAACTCATTGTTGGTTTGGAAATACTTGTTTTCAATATTTTAAAAATCATTATTTGTTATGCGATAGCCTAGGGACCCCACCATTTGGTTACAGTACTTTTGAAAAATAATCATTTTTATTTTCAAATGTGAATTTTCATCAAAACAAAACCAGTAGCTCATGTTTTAGAAATTTATCTTTGGTATAGATATTTGGGCAAAAACATTCCAAAGTAATAAAGGAGCCCCTTGAGTTGAGAAGCATTACGTAAACGCCAGAAAAAAACCATTGATCTCACCGAGAACTCCTAGAAATCCTGATCAGTTGTGCTACACAGAATATGCTGCCTTGTGGGCCTCTGTGAAATTCCAAATGGGTGGCTCAAGAGCTCCTGGCTCACGTGTGAGTCCCCAGACCTTCTTCATGCAGTTACCAGAACAATTGTTTAAAATGCAGTCAGATGGTGATACTCCTCTGCTTCTGCAGAGGCCAAATGTCACACCTTTGATCTTAGAATAAAATACTGATTCCTTCCTGGCTTTACAAGGCCAGGTGCTCTGACTCATGCCAGCTCTGCCAGGCCTGCCTTTGGTCACTTTTCCTTCCCCTTCAGCTATTTGCATTTGCATCCTTTGGGGACCTTTCTGTGGACTCTACTTCAACATTCTGTTTATTTCCTTCGGAGCATTTGCTTCCATCTGTAATAACTGTGCATGTTTATCCGTTGTTCATTTCTTGTCTCCACCATTAGGCGGCATCCCCAGGGGGAGGTCCTCATCCACTTTGCTCTTTGCTGTGTTCCCGGTGCCTAATGAGCATTATTTGTCAATGAGTGAGTGAGTGAATGAAGTGAGCAAAGGAACACAGTGAGTGGTGACAGACACCTAAGGTCACTCCATGCAGATCATAGTACTAGGTTATTTACATAAATATATAAGGAAGTTCCATCCATGGCCTATGGCCTGGGAAGCAAAGAGAGGGCTGTGGTTGGGATCAGGCCAACAGCTGTGCTTTCATCTTTGACTTAAACTTGTCATCAAAACCACTCCCCTCCCTGCTTAGAGAATACCAGAGAAGCAGACAGAACCTCAGGAGCCACTGACCCACATGCTAAGGAAGCTGGAGGGCAGCAAGGAAGTACAGGCTCGCTAACTCAACAGGTGCAATTTTGCGTCAGTGCTGTGGGTACCGATCCAGGATGCAAACACCAGCTGCTCAACCAACCAGGAACACTTTGTGTTGATCCAATGTCTTCCCCTTGAAAAGGCGCCAGCACAGTCTCATAGACACACAGCCCTGCTCAGAGGTAGGCACGTTAACATTCCCATTTTACAAATGGCAGGAGAATGCACCCATGATCGGTGGGCTGGGCACAGTATTGGCCAGCAGGCTCATGTCTTCCAGGGGTTCCGTCTCCATCTTCACTGTGAGGCGATCAGAGCCTGAACAAGGGAAACTAAGTTCAGAACTGTCACCAGTTCCAAATCTGTGCCTGAGGAAGCCTGATGAGAGCCGTCTCCAGGAGAGGTAGCTAGGGTGGAAATGCTTGCTGGGCTCCAGGGAGGCCTGGGCCAGACAGCCTGGGGCACAGTTTCCTCCCTCCCTGCTGAAGTGTTACTGGTTTGATGTAATTTCCGCTGCCATTCATGGCCTTTCTCCTAGGCAGGATCCTGGCACCTGATTTAGGAACCATCCAAAGAACAAGGTTAAGCCAGAATAAAATGTCCAAGAGCCTCCCAGGCTGGGGCAGCCATCAGGGCGGGCTGATCTGGGGCTTCTTCAGGAAGGTGGCCAGTTTTTGGGCCACAGCGTCCAGTTCGATCGGATTGGTGCACTGAAAGAGGTTGCTGTTCCGGACGAAATAGTGTTTCAGGAAGTGCTGGCTCACGCACTTGTGCAATTTCCTCACCAGGCGCAGAAACGCTTTGCTGAAGACCTTCCAGTCTTTAAAGTGGGGATATTTCTCGCAGGTCCAAAAGAGCACAGTCTGTGGAAGGAAGAAGTGCTGTCAGACATTGTTTCAGGCAATTGAGGAGGATATCTTGGAAACAATTATTGAGTTTATGTGGCCTTGGAAGAAGGGAGAAAAGAGTTGCCTAGGCAGACTGGATCTACCACGAATTCACAATCCCCAACTTCAGGTGGGCCTTCAGTTTACAAGTTGGTCTCCCGCACCTCTTCCCTGATCTCCTCCAACATTTTCAGTGGTCACCACTCCAGACAATGTCTTTGCCTCCTACTTTATGAAGAAAATAGAACCCCTCATCCTCCCAAACCAGACAGATCTTGCCTACTGCAGCACCCTCCTTTCTTCCTCCCTGCTTCTGCCTCTTCTGCCTGTGGGGCTGATCCCTCCACAGGGTCCCGGATGCCATCTTCCAGGAACTGTATATGACGGATTACTCTCTTCCTCAACTGCTTTTCACAAGTTGAAAGCTCTCCTGCCACCCCAACGCCATGTCTGCCTCCTGCCCTCACTCTTCCCTCTGCAAATCCAGGTTTCCCCAGAGTCAGCTCTATAGTTTGTCGTCATTTCCTCTCCTCCCATTTCTCGCCTCAGTCTGCTCTAAGATGGATTCTTCTCTCATTAATCCTCAAAGGTTCCTGTCTTCAAGGCCCAGTGATCTCCGTGTTTCTAAATCCAACAGGCCTTTGTCAGCCTGCACCTTACCTGACCTTTCAGCAGACCTGGTTCTCTTGCCCACACCCTCCCTCCTGAGCCATCCTTCACTTGACTTCCAAGCAATCTACTCTCTGGGTTTTCTCCTAGCATTACAGCGCCTCTTTGGCAGGCTTCTACTCCTTGGCCTGCCTTTGAGAGGTAGAGTTTCTGGAGGCTCAGTTCTAGGCCCTCTTCTCCTCTCACTGTACATTCATTCCTCAGCTCTGTGTTCCCTCCACAATAGCAGCTCTAATTCTCACTACAAATGAATGACTTGCAAATTTGTGTCTCCAGCCCAGACTTCTCCTCTGACCTCCTTACCATGTATCTCTTGAGTATCTGAAAGTTATCTCAGTCCCAACATGTCCAAACTGAACCCCTGCTCTTCCTGCACAAACCTGATCTGCCTCCAGAGTTGCTTAACTAGCTAGTTGTGCAACATGCAAACCTAGGAGTCATCCTTCTCCCTTACCGCCCCCAGTCAAGTCCTGCAATCCTCTTGCCTGAGTATTTCTCGAGTCTACCCATTTACCTTCACCTCAAGTATTATTCTACCATCCCCCTCCACACTGCCTCCACATCTCACTGGACCTCTGCAGTAGCCATCTCATCAGCCCATCCCTGTTCTTGCCACCATCCAAACTATCACCATCCACACTGCTGCTAATATACATCTACTTCCCTTCTCATCTAAAATACTTTAAGCTCTTCCCATTGTTTGTTAGCTAAAAACATCATGCTTAACGTGGTGTGGTTTATAAGGTTTGGTCCCTGCCTTCCTTTCCAGACGTATCTTGACCCATATCCTCCCTTGCTCTCTTCATGTAGCCACATCAGCCGTTTCATGCTCCATTCTACCACAGGGCCTTTGCACTTCCTGCTTCAGCTGCATAGGACAAACTTCTTTCCCTTCTTTGTCCATCAGATCAAATTTCCCTAGTACAGCCACTGCACACTCTCTTAGCCATGTACTTCTCATAAGAAGCAGTGACAACTGTAGTAGTTTTTATATTTATGTGATTAATTGTATCATTTCCCCTACTGGATTATAAACTTTATGAGAACAGTGAATGATGCCTATTTTTATTCACTATTAAGCTATCCAGTACCCAGCAGAGGCTAGCCCATGAGAGGAAGTCAATAAACATTTATTGAATAAGTGAATTAATGAATTCATGTTATGGTTTAGATATTGATTATTTTTATACAGTCTTTATTTTTTAGAGCAGTTGTAAGTTCATAGCAACTATGTATTTAGATTATATGATTATGAATAAATGAGTTAGAGATAATTTCACGCAAGTGAAGATAACCTAGATACCAGAAAAAAATGTTAATTCCTCTTGTTAATTAAGCTTTTATCGTCCTAAGCAAACTGGGGCAGTTAAGCTCATTATAAGCAAGCCAATGTACTTTGAGTGGGTTTTAGGAATAAATAAGTCAATAAAAGATAAGCTTTTCCATCACATGAAACAGTCTTGGGGCATAGCCTTTCTGACAGTGTAAGAGAGTGTCAGACTTAAGGTGAGGCGAGGCTGAGTGCCACAGCTTCCTAATGCTGTTTTGCAACCCAGCCTCTTCCACTTTCCCCAGAATGAAGACTTGGCAAGGATCCAGCACACTCAAGTCATCATCTGGGATGGTGTCTAACACCACATTTGTCACCAGCCACATTCATTTCAAGGGTGAGGATGCCTAAATGGGAGATAATTCTGTCTGTGGACTAAGGATGGAAGACCAGAGAAAAAGGCAGTTAGCACTTTCTGTTTATCTTACTCCAGAAATAGCCCCCTTAAAAAAAATGCCCATCCTTGATGTTGCCCAATTCTATTGTGCCTTGCAGGTGGGTCAGGGAGGACTGAAACAGAGGATCCTTAAGGAGTTGCCTTAAAATCCACTAGGTGACTTAGGAACTATCAGAATAAAAGTCAGCCCTTGTGGGGAGTACAGATTTGCAAGCAGCTATGGGTTGGGAGATCCATGGTGGCCCCATTCAATCATGCCTGAAATATTCATGTCACTGAATGGTATTTCCATGCATCTTAATTGAGAGGTAATGAAGTCAATCGTTAAGGTTATGAGGTTTTGATATGAGATAGACTTGAGTTTGTGTCTCAGCTCTGCCTCTTCTAGTGTGGGCTGTATAAAGGAAAGCAAGAGAAGCTAAATCTACAGAACAAATCAAAGTATCTTCTGCAAGCACATGCCCTCCATCCAGGAGAATAGCCTATGTGTTTTTAGGGGAGTGTGCTTGGGACACGTTGAGAATATTGGAACTCCAGAGAAAAGCCCCAGTGCATGTGAATGAGATGTTAACAGATTCTTCCGCAAGTCAAAATGGATAGGTTATCAGAAAGGTAAGAAGGCGAAGCAAAGATTAGTGATTTTGTGCAAAAAAGAAGAGAAAAGTTGAGCAAGATGTGAAGCCACTCATTCATTTGCTCTACAAATATTTAATGTGCTACTATGTACAAAGCATTGGGAGAGATACTGGGGGTATTATTCATCCTTCTCCCAGGGAACAAGAGCACTGAGTAAGGTCAGCATGCTAGCTGGACAAGACCAATGTGGTGTCTGTCTTTCAAGAAGTTACTTTAGAGCAGACGGAGTAACATGGGGCAAGAAGAGAGCTTTGTCTATTGAATGAGAGGAGGAACAGGTATGTGAGGAAGGCACCTCACAGATAGGTGACTGCCCCAGGGACCTGTGCTTGCCTGAGTGGAAAGGCAGTCCATCCTTTCTGGGGCCAGAGAGGAGGGCTGAAGCTCCTAGACCCACACTAGCTAGGCTGGCTGGGGTGTCCCGCAAGAGTCTCCTACCTCCCTACCCCAGCAGGCTGCACAGAACTGCTACATGAGAGTCCACTTCACTCTGTGTGGTCCACAATTTGAGAAAGAGGGAGTCGAGAGGGTGGTCAAAGGCCCCCTTTCCAAGGAGGCCCCCCTAACTGCCCAGTCCAGGTCAGGCTCTGCTGCTCTGAGCCTTCACAGAGCCATGCTCCTCCCGTTCCAGTGCTTCCTCACTGTGTGATTGTACATGCACCCACTGGCTTGCCTTACCCATGTCTATCTCCCATGCTAGACCAGAAGTGACAGAGTGAGGAACCACATCTGTGTCTGTTCACCTTTGTGCCGGCAGGGGTTGAGCCCACAGCAGGTACTGGGGCAGGCCTCTGGCCCAGAGTAATCTCAATAGACACTTGCTGAATGAGTGAGTGAAGGCATGAATGGATGTTACTGTTGGGTTTAGGGCAAGGAGAGGCAGGTGCTGGCAGAGCAAGGGAAAATCCTTGCCTGGTGATTTGGACCCTAGAAAGAGGTGTGTGGCAGTACGTATGTGGTAACCTTTGTGTTGCATTTCCTGGTTCCCTCTGTGTTAGTGGGTCTGTGTGCATGAGGAGTTGTGCTTAGGCTGCAGTAGGTTCTAAGACTGGCACAAACATAAAGCCACCAAAGTGTGAGGCACAAATCACGTTTTGTAATTTATTTCTGAACCTCAGCAGGGTTTCTGGCACCTAGTGGGCACTCAGGTTGGTTTGGTGGTAGAATAAAAGTGAGAGGGGAGGAAAAGTGGGAGAGAAGAGAATTGGAAAAGGGAAGGAAGGGAGGAAATTTTACCCTGGACAGGGGTGTTGTGGACTCCCATATGGTGCTAGCTTACATATTTCCATAATAAGTAGGCATTTCTTGGATGGCCAATGTAGATACTAGAGCCTCATTTTTCACACATGCCAGCCCTACTGAGTGGCTCTGGCCAGGCCCTAAAGAGGCCACAGGGAGAATGATCTATCCAAAGCTGCCCCTGGGCCTTCTCCCACCTGCCCCACACTCACCTGCAGATGGTGGGACGTGATGACCGGCCTGTTCCCTGGGCACCAGACGTCCTCCTTCAGCTGCCTCATGACCTGAAAACACTTCCTACGGCAGCCCCCATCCTCATCCAGCTGTTCTAGCAACACCTGCTCAGCACGGAGGAAGCTCAGCTGCCAGTGATAATTTGAACAGGGCAACAAGTTAAACCCAAACGACTGGAAGAAAAAGAAAAACATTGGGAAATGAGAAGAACAACGCTCACTGGTGTAGAAAGCCATTTCTGAAGCAGTCTGCTGGTCTGGGGAACTTTTCACCAGGCAGACAGCACATCCTATGTGGGGATGAAAAGGGGATGTCAGGGAGACCACAAGCCACTTTGGGTATGAATAGTTAGAAGGTGGTACCCACTTCCTCTCCTGCAGCAGTTCTCCAACTTGAGCATGCATCAGAATCACATCACCCGGAGGGCTTCTTAAAACACATATTGCTGGGCCCTGTTCAAGGGTGTCATTCAGCAGGTCCAGAGTGGGGGCCCGGGAAGCTGCATTTCTAACAAGTTCTCATGTGACGCTGGTGCAGGGCCCACACTTTGAGAACTACTGATCTAGTGACACCTCAACTTTCCTTTGAAACTCTTTGGCAGTCGGTAATGCTGTGACTGGTTAAGCTGTTGGCACCACTGCTCTGGAGAGCTGGGTCCCGCCCACTGATACCTTGATGCACTCCACTCTCTCTTGGGAAGGCCAGCGCTGCAGACATCGAGGCCACCGGGCTTTCTCGGACCAGGTGGTGGGGATCTCCACCGCGGGGGCCAGCTCCAGTTCCACCTGATATGCAGATGTTTCCACAGCAATCCAAACTGCAGAGCGGTTTCCTAGCATGCTGACCTTACCTGATAGGAAATGACCAAATGGATAAGGAGAAGAGAAAGGCTTGCACATTACAAGCGTTCAAACAAGAAATTTGTGAGCAGTTGCTCTGATCAGCACCTTGCAACTGGTGTGACAACTTTCACAATGTCTGTAGCACATCAAGGATCACAATGTCTGTAGCAAGTCAAGGATCACAATGCCTGTAGCAGGTCAAGGTTGTGACATCAAAACCAGATGGTTAGTCACCTAGCCAGCGTCAGAGCATTACTAAGAAGTCTCATTGCTAGTGGGTTTTTCTTTCTCCCCCAATCCCAAGGCTTTTGTGGTACCTTTTCTTTTAAATTAATAGATTATTTTCAAGAGGCTCAACTGAAAGTAAAAGCCATAGAATAAAAAGAAAAAGTGTAGTACATGTGCTCCTTGACTTACGATGGGGTCACATCGCAATAAAGCTGAAAATATTGTAAGTTGAAAATGTATTAATACACCGAACCTACCAAACATCATAGCTTAGCCTAGCCTACCTTCAATGTGCTCAAAACACTTACATTAACTTAGAGTTGGACAAAATCATCTAACACAAAGCCTATTTTATAATAAAGTGTTGAATATCTCATGGAATTCATTGAATGGTTGTATGAGTACTCGAAGCACAGGTTCTACTAAACATGTATCATTTTTGCAACCTTGTAAAGTAAAAAAAATCATATGTTGAGCCATGGCAAGTTGGGGACTGTCTGTATTTGCTACTGTAAAATGAAACCTCACTATTTTTCTATATCCTTCTCCATTCTACCCAAATATCTAAATGTTGGTTTTTCAGAGTAATGCAAACATAGGGAAGGCTAATGCCATTTTTTTTTTCCTTCTTCACCTAGATGTTCTGACACTGGCTGGGGACAGTATCAGCCTCCTTATTTATTCATATGCCTTTGGTGAAATTTGGCTTCACCTGTCTTTTATCTAGGCCTCAGTCTCTTAGATGGTATTTGTTTTTACCATCCACTCAGCTAGCCGAGCCTCAGAGGTATCTATCATCAGAAACCCCTGTAACCACAAAATACATCAAAGCACATCACAGCCACTGTTTCAGAGGATTGAGTGATTTGAAAGAAGCCGCCATTGCCTCATTTTCCAACCAGGAAAAGAGAAGAAGAGAAAACTATGCATCTAGTAGTTTTCCAGCTCACATACTATAATTTCCTCATTTCCAATTTGCTCTTTCTTCTTTCAAAAGATACAGTTTTTGTTTGTTTGTTTGCCTTCATTGCAGATAAAGATAAGCAGTCTTGAATAGATCAGGATCTATTCATCCTTATTTGCTCATCCCAATTTTTGAAATAGATCAGAATCTATTATTTTGCATTTCCTTGCACAGAGAAGAAAATGGAAGCACGTTAATTGTGTTAGGCTTTTCAAAATGGAAACATTCCCTGGCCGAGGTGGGATAAAGGGCTTGTTGTCTGCATGTCATCAGAGCTGCCCAGACAGGAACATGACAACTGGCACTTTAGCATTATTTACTAAAAGCGTCTCATCAACCTTGCCCAGTCTGAATCTCTGCTTTGCACTTTCACTATGAATAATGTGGCACAGCATAAGAGGTGAGTCGATGCTGCAGCCAACCCACTGCCCGCCACCCTGCTCTGCACCTGGCTTTGCTTACGAGGTGTGCAACCTTCAGAAGTGACTTAATCTCTCTAAGTCTCAGTTTCCTCATCCCTAAAACAGGTAGGAAAAGAATTCTTACTGTATTGTGTGGTTATGAGGATTAAATTAACCCATGAAACTTACTCTACTTAGTAAAAAATCTATTAAACATAAATTATTACCATTATGGAAATTTTCAGAACTATTCTGTCTAGACAAGCAAATGTATGTACGAATACATCCTTTTATTTTCACACAGATGGAATCTCATATTATTTGGCAGTTTGGTTTTTCACTTAGCTATCTAGCCGATGCATTTTTCATAGCTCTGTATGTATGCATGGGCATATGCCTGTTCTTTTGTAAGGCTGCATAGTAGTCCAGTAGGCAGGGACAGCATAATTTAAGTTAGCCAGTTTTCCTTTATTAGCCATTTAGATTACTTCTATTTACTATTATAAAATCTATGGCGGAGAATATCCTGGTGCATATTTCTTTGTGTATTTGTAGAATATATTTGTAGAATTTAATTTGTAGAAATATATTTCTAGAACTGGAATTGTTGAATTGTCAAGTGAGCACATTATGAAAATAAAATATAGACAACTTTCTCTTTAAAAAGGAGACACCAATTTCCACTTCTAATAACAACACGAAAATACCCATTTCACCATGCCCACTTGACACTAAGCATGATCAAACTTTTCATTTCTTTTAACTTGTTAGGTATTTTAATGTACCCAACATGAGGTATATTCTAATATATGTTGAAATATACATTAGATGGAATGTCTTTTCTTATTTTTGCAAGCCATTTGTACTCTTTTTCTGTGATTCCTTTTTTTTTTTTTTTTTGATAATTATTTCTATTGGTCAGCTCATCTTTTTTCTTATTGGTTTATAAATTAAGAAAATTTGTATTTTCCTAATTATATAATTAAGAAAATTGGCCATTTCTTTCCAGTTTGAAATTCACCTTTTCACTTTGTGTGAACAAAAAGGGTGTGTGTGTGCGTGTGTGTGTGTGTGTGGGCATATGCTGTACAGTAGCTTAAGACTTTGTCAAATTTAGTCAGTTCTTTTGGCTCCTGGATTTTCTGTTTTGGTTCAAGTTAGTGGTTTCCAAATGTGGAATCTCAGCACACTGTGGTACTGCAGTCAGATGGAGGTGCTGCAGTAAAAATGTACTAATAAAGAAGACCTGGGGTTTGTGAATAATTTGCTTTTAAAACAAATATGCTTAAGTTTTTAAGCCTGGTTAAGATGCATAATCCACAGCATTTTATATCTATGCCAGCACAGTAACTTTCTCAAAGCCACAACACTATTTTGTTAGAATGAATTCCAACCTTCTGTGCATCAATGGCAGGGGAAAAAAGCTGATTCATCTTATTAAGATTAAATAAATGTGAAGAGCACATGATTATCTTCTCAAATGTAGGCTGTGAGCTGCAGGTAACACCCAAACAGAGGTTTTGTAGAGTGAAAGGGGAATGTCAGCAATTACCCTTGCACTTGTTCCTGATCAGCTCACCTGAGAGGTGACAGGTTCTAATTGCGTTTTCCACCAGCTTCCGGAACACCAGGAGGACCTTAGCGGGCACAATGTCTCCGTCGATGTTCACGTCTGTCTCATGCCACTGCCACAGGCTCTTCATAAACTGTTCCACCTCCAGCCACTGCTGCAGACCCTCAGGGTCCCGCAACGGGCAGGGCAGCCTGGTGCCCTGCAGGGTGTAGTACCGCCAGCGCTGCTCCCTGGCCTCCCTGTACCCAGCCAGGCCTTTTATTGGGACTGTGACAAGGAACTGACTGGGGGCCAAAACCTAGGGTCAGGAAAGGATTGAAAACAAGCATGAATTCACAGATTCGGGAGGTAACGGAAGTCCTGGGAGCCGACCTGTCTCGCCAGGCAGCTCTCTTAACCACTCCACCCTCAGCAGTGTGACCTGATACACAGAGACATAGACCTGGGTGTTACAAGTGGATTACCTCTTTGTTCTGCTACTGAATCACTGTAAATACTTTGGGCAAGTAAATTAGCTCGCTGAGTTTATTATCTTATGACTATACAAGTAAAGACAGTGAGCTAGACCAGGAACTCCAGAGGAGGCCTAAAGTTTGAGAAAGAAGAATGAGTATGCATTGAGTTCCCTGCAGTTGCGACACTGCAATTCTAATGCATTTGACAATTTCAACTTCACAATCACACAGTAAGGTGAGCTTTGTTGCCATTTTCCAGATGAGGAATCCAAGATGCAGAGGGGCTTGGAGATCTCCCCAGGGACACACAGCCAGTAAGTAGAAGAGTCAGAATTCGAGTTTAGGTCTTTGGACAGCTTGTTCAGTTATTATTTCTCTACCCTGGGCTGGCACTCAGCCAACAATGAATGACATGGAATGGTGAATGTTTTGACACAAATAAAAGGTAGGAAGTAACAGCAAGGGAGTTTAAAAGATTTTGTAAAATGTCTCCTATTTTTGGGTTGGGGGGGCCTGTACTGATGACCCATGGTCAGTGTTCATGACTAACCCTTCCAAAATCAAAGGCAAAATGAAAGCTTATTTGTTGAGACAATGTGAGCTGTTGAGATAATTCTAAGTTTAAAGAAAAAAAGCAAACAATCAGAATCCACCTAATCCCTTTCTCCAGGAACCAGTGAAGCAATGACTGGGGGAAAGCAGGCAGACCAGCAGCCAAGAGATAGAACAAGTGGGTAAACAGAGCAGCCAAAGGAGCCTGAACTCTGACCATGTCCCACTTCACAAACACCTTCAGCTGTGAGTCAGCTGCCTCCTCCTCAGGGAAAGCTCTGACCATGGAATTTGGTTAACTCTTGCCCAGGGCCAGTCATTGACCCATTGAGGGGTGAATGTCCTAATCAGCCCCAGCTGGATCTGCCTAACTCTAAGAAAACAATAGTTTGATGTTTTAGATGATGTATCCACATGACTTCTGGTACCCACAGAAAGGTAGCTGGATTTAAAAAGAGGAAAAAAACATCCAAAGTCCCTGGAATTTCAGATCTGTACATTATTTCAATTCACTTTCATGTGAATTCAAAAGCAGAACTATCATGTTGTTAGTCATGTAAGTGGTGCTTAGTAAATATTTGTTGAGCAGCCTGGGCAATATGACGAAATCCATCTCTACAAAATAAAAAAATTAAAATAAAATTAGCCAGGCATGGTGGCATTTGCACCTGTAGTCCCAGCTGCTCGGGTGACTGAGGTGGGAAATCACTTAAGCCTGGGAGGTTGAGGCTGCCGTAAGCCATGATCTCACCACTGCACTCCAGCCTGGGTGACAGAATGAGACCCTATCTTTAAAAAACCAACAAAAAAAACTTGTTGAATTTGATTTAAGTTAAAAGCAATTTTATATGCTATGCTGTAGCTATTTTTGAAACTTAATATGTAAGACATGACATATATAAATGCAAGATATATTTTAAGCTATGAATTCTAAGTAGGACCACGGAAGGAAATTTCCTTGGGTGTAGTGCTAAGAAAAGTAATGTAATATCTCTATTTCCAGTCCCTGTGACCAAGTTAGATTGGCCTGGGTGGGAGAGTTGGGCAAGTGATGCTCTAGCATTCCAGGATTCAATGTAGTTTTGTATTTTTCATCTTGGGATTAATTTCCTACAATCTGACTCTGTTTCAAAATCCACAAATCCCAGCATCTCTTGGGTGGTTCTTGCATCCACCAAACTTGAGATGTAATGGGCCAGCAATGGTCTTTTGCTCAGGTACTAATTCTTTTGCTCATTCATTTATTCATTCATTCCACATATGTTAAGTGTCTACCATGTGCCACACACCATGCTGGGTGCTAGGAGCAAAACAATCGGTAAACATGGTCCTTACAATCAAGGGATGTGCAGTCTGTTGTGAGAAATGGGCCACGAGTACATACAAATTTAACACAAAGTGAAAGAGGTATGTGGCATAATAAAAATCAAGATGAAGAATGATGGAGATTCAGAATGATTCAGAATCTCACTTCTCTCACCTCTAAAACTGAAATAACCAGAGTGTCTTTTCCACAAGGTGGTTTATAGGTTTATGTGAGGTCGTTTCTGTGTGTTCAGCTCTGCCCTCGCTACCGTGTTGCTTGAATGCTGGTGTTACCCATTGGCTTACACTGGGTGGGATTCCTCAGCAGGGAGAGGGGTTGCCAGTCTGCTCCTGCAGCTTCTCAGTGGCACCTCTTCTACTTTCTTCCTTCCCCATCTGCAACCCACAGACTATGACTTTCAATGGTCTTCTTATGGATGCCCTCAGTTCCCTCTACCACACCTCCAATCTCTTAAGTAGGTGCTTAATAAATGAATGTGTATTTAGCTGAGCTTTGATTGTGACAGCAGAATGTGCTTTGGAATCAAAAGCTTCTGTGTGAGTTCTGGCTTTAGTGCCTGATATGACTTGATCAAGTCATTTGACTTCTCTAAGCCTAGTTTTTCTCATCTAGGAATGTGGGGGCTCAAAGGAAATAACATCTATCTTTTTTCCTTTTTCTAAAGAGACAGAGTCTCACTGCATTGCCTAGGTTGGTCTCAAACTCTTGGCCTCAAGCAATCCTCCCAAGCCTTGGCCTCCCAAAGTGCTGGGATTATAGGCATAAGCCACACCACTGGCTGAAACGACATGTATAAAATGAGACTGTAAATAGTAAAAACTAAGAGTACCTGTGAAAACAAGAATTGTTATGAGTATTCTGAGTGAGGCAAGCATCTGTCACACACTGAGATTCACCTGCCCAAGTACCCTGGCTCTGTTGGTGGCACTTAGAGACAGTGAGACTTGCTTACCTTAATATTTTCATTGTATGTGTCAGAGTAAGGCACAGTTTGAAATCTAATGTCTTGGTTGCTGATGTTTGTGGTCAAATGATGAACGACTTTCTGCACCTCCTCCATAGCCTGGGAAATCTGCTGGCGCCTCAAGTCCACCTGGGTGTGAGAAGGACCAGCAAAGGTGGTTATTTCCTCTGTGGACCCCAAGGCACTGGCATAAGATAGTGAGGAGACAAGGGTACAGCGAGGGGTGACTGAGGGAGTTCAGCTCAAAAATTCTGCCTTCCCAAGACGCCGGGGAGATGGACTTAGGTCTGACTCCACTGAGAAGATATTGGTTGGTGCCTCAATGTTCTTTTCTGTAACAGATGCATTCATTTGATATTTATCTAGGACCTACTATGTAGCAGGTGCCAGGCCAGGTGCTGGGGACACAACAGTGATTAAGACAACAGTGAACAATGTAGATACTTGCCCACTAGCTGAAAATATAGGAATACATGTAGATATAATACATAATATATAATTATAATATATAATATCAATATTATAATATATAGCATCATACCTGATATTATACACACACAGACACACATATGTGTATGTATATATGTATTCCTGTGTATATATATGTGTGTGTGTGTGTATGTGTATGTATATGTGTCTGTGTCTGTGTATATGTTATAATATCAGGTATAAGTCCCAGGAAGAAAAATAAAATATGATAAGGGACTAGAGAATAAAGGGGCAGCTATTTTAGTTAGGGTGGACAATGGACAAAGAATACTTGTCTAAAGAGGTGACATTTGAGTGAGGCTGAAGACAGCTTAGGAGAGCAGATTCCATGCTCCTCCTCTGACGTAGGCAATGCTCTGAGGCTAGCAGCGAGGCCACTGTGGTTGGATCCAGCAAAAGGAAAGTGACAGGAGTTGAGTTAGGAAAGGAAAGCAGGGGCCAGATCATCACACAGGGTTTTGTGAACCATGGTGAGACTCTACCATGGTATCGTCATGCCTGCTGCCCATAGTGTGAATATTAAACTGCTTAACATGTATCAGCACCCAGCAGCCTGCTTCCCACTGATGTCATCAGTAAATGATGATTCTCTTTGCCTCTGTACTCACCCTTGCCTTCTGCTTCTAGACCCTTAAGAAAAGGCATGTTTCTGCTGAAAGATAGTTACCACAGCGAGTTAGGAAGAATTGGGAAATTCTCATAGAAAACTGAACACTAATCAGATACTTAAAGTTTAGGGAAATAGATGTTTGTGGGAAACACAAAGGAACTTTTAGTGAACTCCAGGAGAGACACAGAAAAATCCAAGTAAGAGACGGAAGGGTCTGCAAGATTTTTTCTGAAATGGAGGGGGCGCTTTGTCATCTTGCTCAGGAGGCACCCGCAAGCCGCTGTCATGACAGCGAGACTCTCCTTCAGAGGCTCCTTCAGCCAGGGGCCAATTTCAGGCAATATCTGATACATCGCAATCTAACACCCATCCATTAATCTTTATATTCTCTCCAAATTTGGTATAACGGTTGTTTCTACGTATTCTAGAGTCATTCTGAGATACCCATAAACTGATCACGACAGCCAGAAGAAAAAGCCCAAGTCAAAGAGATTCCTGTTTTCCTAAACTAAGTCATCAACTAGGCCAGTTACCTGAGATCTCACTCATACTTCCCATCAACCAGCAAGCCAACTTCATATGTTCACAGAATAAGAATGTGACTGTGCACCTACTGGTACACATGTTGTATAGCACACATAGGGTCAATTCATCAGTAAGTTTTTTTTTAACACATCCTCTGTGGTGGGCACCATCACATGCTGGAACACAGCAATGCACAAGATAGACGTGGTCATGCATTCACAGTAGTGAGGAAGACAAATTGTATAGAATATAAGTGTGGGGATGCTATTATGAGAAAAATAACAAATGACAAAAATAAAGGTTTTAGAAGTCCAAAATTAAGGGTCCTCTCCAGCACAGGACTTCCCCTCTGTGTTGTGATTCAATTCCACTCGAGTAATTTGAGTGGAGCATCCATTTTATGCTGGGCTCTGTGCACACATGTTGCCACGAGGTTTACAGATAACTTGACAAAGCAAGACAAATAACCTGGAAATTAAAATCACGGCAATCTAGTGCAAGGTAGAGGTTTGCACAGATGCTATGAATACATAGAAAAAGGACACTTCATCCAGTTTGGAGGGTGGGAGGCCTTCCTGGAGGCACAGTGTGTTGGAGTTGTATCTTGAAAGCTTACTAGGCGTTAGCTAGGAAAAAGGGGGCATGAAAGTTGTTCTAGAAAGAGAAAATAGCAGGTATTGAGCCAGGCATGAGGCGCACAAAGAGAGAATTTGTGCTCCTCATGCCTGTGCAATTGTTCCTGTGATATTTTTAGAACACAATTGCCTTAGAGGAGGTGGTGAAGTGGAAGAATAAACAGTGAGAGGTCCCGAAGGTAAAGGAAGAGTTTCAAGAACAAAGTCAACAGTAAGTGGCTAAGTTAAGACTCCCAAATGTCCATGGAGTCTGACAGCTAGAATAGGATGGCTGCATTGGGGGAACGCTGGGCACTAGCATTAATGGTGGGGGAGAGGTGGGCATTACTTGTGGATTAAGGGTTAATGGAAGACAACCAAGTGAAGACAGAGGTAAGCAACCCCTCCAAGAACTTTTTTTTTTTTTTTTTTAAGACGGAGTCTTGCTCTGCCACCAGGCTGGAGTGCAGTGGCGTGATCTTGGCTCACTGCAAACTCTGCCACCCGTGTTCAAGTGATTCTCCTGCCTCAGCCTCCTGAGTAGCTGGGACTACAGGCTCGCACCGCCACACCTGGCTAATTTTTGTATTTTTAGTAGAGATGGGGTTTCACCAGGTTAGCTAGGATGGTCTCGATCTCCTGACCTCGTGATCTGCCCACCTTGGCCTCCTAAAGTGCTGGAATTACAGGAGTGAGCCACCGCGCCCGGCCCCAAGAACTTTTACTATGGGGAAAACCAAAACAACAGGGATGGGAACAGTTTTGTTTTGTTTTTTCCTTACAAAATGACACACAGGCTTAAACATGTTTAAATGCTGAGAGAAAAGAGTCAGTGGTGAAAGAAGAGGTAGCAGAGAGCAAAAGCATTTGGTAAGGATTTCCCACCTGAAAGGAGTCATGCACATCTGGAAACCTGAGTGAGGAATTCATCTTGGTGTGGCAGAAGGAAAGAAGGGGAAAAGGGTGCATGCAGATACAGATAAAAGGGCAGGGGGCAGTGAAAATCAGAGAGATTTCCAGTCTGCTGTCTATGTTCTTTATAGAGCGGGAGACGTTAATGAGCTAAGAGTGAAGTGGAAGGCAAGAGATTTCAGGCGATAGACTGCTGTAATAGCTGCTATAAGGAATGAGAGATTGTTTAGGTACATGCATAAAGATAACCCGACAGTATCAAGACTTGGCTGAGGCTGGGTCCCTGAGGCTGTGGGATATCAGTAGGCTCAGTTGTGAGATCTTCTCCACCATCTCTTAGCCCTCCAAAGGTAAGAGTTGAGGTGCTAAGATTGGAGTTTGCTGGGCAAAAGCTGTAGAAAGATATAAAAGCAACAGAGGGTTTCAGTAGTGGGCTATATTTTCCAGCCTGAATAAAGAACAGATAAAGCTAGTGGTAGAACAGCGAACATTAACTAGATAGAACATTATAGGCAGAGTGGTTGAGAAATAGTATTCTCTAACAGTTAAGTTCTCAGAATGTGTTGAAGACCAAGACTAGCCTCCTGAATCTGCCAGCCCCGCTGATGTAATTCCATAGAACTTGAATGTTAGTAACATAGCAGTGACTATATATATTTTGTTTCCTGAGTTAATAAACTCATGAAAGATTCATCACCATCAAATCATTTTTAACTAATAGAAGCTTAACAGTGTGTGTGCATGTGTGTATGTACGTGTGTGTATGTATGCACATAACACATGTGAAGAGTAGCCTATTGGAAAAAGTACTTCATTGTAAATCTGTTCTACAAATTGTGCCCTCATTTGATGGCGAAATGAGGACACAAGCAGGACAAGATCACACTGAGCAGAACAAGGTCACACACTCCTGGAAAACAACTATAATCTCTCACTTGTTACACAGGTTATTAGCTCACCCTTATGACCTGTTTTGATTGCCAAAGGTGAAAGTCAGAGTAAGAGAATGCTTTCTGAGACCCAGAACCACAAATTCCAGTTTTAATTTTCTTCCTGCATCACTTCTGCTGCAACTTAGACTCAGGATCTTAGAAATGGAAGAGACCCCAGAAGCTGCCTTGTCTGGTGTGACTTTACGGAGGATCAGAGTGACAAGGTGCCTTTCCTAACATCACACTGGCAGTTAGAGGTAGAACTAGACAGGCTCTCCAACACTTCTTTCCATCACACTTTGCCACACCCTTAAGTACTGATGTATCAGCAGTACTGCCTACCCTTTATCCTCTTCCTGAACCTAAAAATGCCTTCAATTTAAAGTCAAGACTCACGAAATAAGGAGTCCTAAGTCTCCATGTATTTGGGCATCAGCAACTATTCCTGCATCTAACAAGCACGAAGCGTCATGCAGCAAGGGCCAGACAGTGATGCCCCTGCTGCGGGACCTGAGTGGAAGCCTCTTCCTCTAGGTGATGGGCAGCCCCATCCCTCCCACATCTCTGGCTACACTTCCTGCATACGTTCTTACCCACACAGCATCGCCGTGCTATTTGGTAGCCCCAGAAGTGATTTGTGCTGGGAGTTTCCAGGCTTAGTCCCAGACATCTCTTGTCACCCTCATGGTGTGACAACACAGAACCCCCAGACTGTTTCTCTCCACTTATTCTGGCCACACCCTGAACAGATACAGCAAGAAGTTCCTTTCAGGGTGTGGAAAAGCAGGCAGTGGGGCTTGGGGTAGCTGTACAGTGATCTAAAGAAGGAGGCTCTAACACAAGTAGAGACCCGTTGCAAGCCCAACCCTGGAATTCCTTTACTGCCTCTCAAACTTTAGGAAGCCAGCAAGATATCAGTTGCAGCCTCAAGGCAGCCTTGAGGCAACCTTGTCACCAAACTCAGTTCATGGCAAAACATGGAAACAAATGTTGTTTGGGCCTCGCTCTTCCAAGGCATGTCTCCATGCTGTCGCAGGTCCGTGTCCCATCCTGGGCCGCTTTCCCCTCCTCCTCCTTAACCACAGCATCAGGTTCATTGTTGCCCCACAAGTCATTTGCTGCTATTAATAGCTCAAGTTTGTGAATAGTTTACTGTTTCAAATACAAATTATGGGGATTCAAGGTTAGCCCCTATAATATCACTCTGACTCACTTGCATTCCGATACACTTCCTTGCGAGAGAGACAGAGTGGTGGTGCTAAGTAGTATGCCAGGAATGTCACACAGGCCTGGTCACACTCATGACCACACAGCCTATGTGTATGTCATTCCCAATGAGTGTTACTGAGAAGAAAAGGCTGAGGACTTCCTTCCAGAAAACAAGAAGTCAGACTCTAATTCCGGAATTTCATTAAATCAATCATCAGTTAGAAAAATTTCAACAAAACAAAAACAGGCACCATCTCTGTCTTTCAGGGGCTAATAATGTAAAGAAATGGAAAGTTAAATCCAGTGATAGATACACACGAGACCATAGGCTTTCCATCATCGTATCCCTTCCTTTTTAGACTAATCCTAATGTCGAAGGCTCATTTGTGCCTATCCATCATTCTTTAAGGTGGATGCTATGATTATTCCCATTTTATAGATGAGGAAACCAAAGCTCAGAACATTTAAATAATTTGCCTAGGTTCCCAAAGTTAGTAAGTTACAGAAAATATCCTTCCAAAGCCCATATTTCTAACCACTGCCCTATTCTGTCTCCCCAAAAGAAAAAGGTGACTGGGAATGAAACACACCTTGAATGTTTGAATGGGGTTCCCTTAGCCCAGAAGACCTTTCCTATACTTCTCCACTTATTAAAACCCTACACTTCCTCCAAGGCTTTGTCTCCACTCTTCTTTCTGTAAGACACCTTTCCCATCAGAACTAATGCACCTCTGTTCTCCTCCAGCAATCTGTTGAAATCTCTACTGCATCCCTTATGGTCTACCATGCATTATATTAAGCACTTGCCTGACTGCATGTGAAATTCCCTCCTTTTTCCTTTGGGGTTATGTACAAAATCTGCAGATGGGACAGGGCTATCCTAGAGACCAAAACCAAAATTTCTCTCTCATTTAGCAGGCCACATCTCAGGCCTTGGTCTACCCTCAAACCGTAGCACAGTATTTTGCACAAAGCAGGTGCTTAGTATGTGTTTGCAGAGATACAGAGGAGTTTAGCAGAGGACATTCGGCCTTTGGACTAAAAAAGACAAGGCTGAAACTTCAGAGCCCTCTCAATTCAGCTGTGTAACTTTGGACAAGTTATTTAATCTCCACAAGCCTCTGTTTCCTCCTCTGTAAAAACGGAGGCAATATGTACATCACATAGTTGTTGATTAGATTAAATGAGATCCTGTATGCGCCTTGACCTGTCACCTTCCACACCAATCTTGCCTTATCTTTAACGAACTCTAAAGATATTTGTGATCATATATGTGCAAGATACTCTGAATGTCGAAGGCAAGAAAGGCATGCAAGACACTGTTCTCCCCTCCAGAAACTTATAAAGAATGAAATGATATGACATGTAAGTTGCCAACCAAGATGATAATAGAAAAGTGTCAGGAGTTGATATACAAACTCATGATCAAATAAATGGTGCCAGTAATACTAATTATAATGGGAGTGAATATATGGGCAAAATCATTTTGTGCTGGGGTGTCAGGGACTCTTTCTTGAGAAAGTGGACTCTGAGTTTGAAGGATGAATATGAGCCAGAAAAGTGGCGAGGAGGAGCTAGGGCCCTTGGCCTGCTCAGGGCCCAGTTCTTGTTGGGCAGAAATGGAAGACTCAACCACCTACAGGAATGGAGTAGGGGACACACGTGAGAGAGGCAGCGGGGGCCAGGAGCAAGTGTCAGACACAGGAGTGATCAGCCTCCTGAGAACTGGCCAGCACATGCTCTGGCTAACAAACACTCAGCCCCAGCACACGGTTTCCGGGCAAGAAATTGGGACCTGTAGTTGCCAAATATTCTGATTTTTTTTTCCCCTGGAAAGACAGAAATATGGATTTCTATGCAAAATCTATTTTGAAATGTTTGTGAAAAACATTAGAAATAATCTACAGGCCAAACAAAATATGAGCACAAGCTGGATTCAACATGTCAAACACTATTTAGGATTTCTGCCATTGGAAATGCAGGGGGAGCAGAGGGTAGAAAGATAGAGCAGTTCAAGTTACTTGAACACCACACTAAAAATTTTGGAGTTTTTTCTTACAAAAAATACAGGACCCATGAAAAAAATGCCAGCCAATATCTCTTCCATTTAGAGTCCTCAAAGGGAGGAATAATGGGAAATCACTTTCTTTACTCTAGTTTTTATCATGCCAGGCTGTCCTGATTTATCTCTCTTAATGGTTTTGCCTAAGAAATATACTTTACTTATCACTATGATAATGATCTTTGCCTTTGTACTTGTAAAGGCCTGAAAACTACAGACCAGTGCCTACTTCTTAGTCAATTTAAATATTTTGGTTTTAACATTAACATCATGCCTTGGTAGGTTCATCTGTAAATGAAAAGGCTTAAACTAGATAATATTTAAGTTTCCTTCAAGTTCTAACATTTGACATGACCATCTAGACCATCTAGAAGAAATTAAGTTCTTAACTGATGTGTACTAAAAATGTAATAATATTTAAAAACCTAGTAGTTTCAGAGTTTTTAAAAAGCTTTGTTTTGATTTCATTAGCTCTTTTTCCATGACCCCATGAAGCTCCTATTATTATTCCCATTTTACAGAGAAGAAGGCCAAGGCTCAGGCAGGTTAAGTGACTCACGACCACGCGAGTGTCAGTGGCAGAGCTGGAGTTCCTCCCCCGTTCCCCAGATTCCAACTCTCCATTCTATACCCAACAAGTCTCCGGACACTGGACCCTCAAAGAGAAGTAAGGCTGAGATATGTTAAGTCCCCCAACATTGTTATGGGGGACAGTCTGTTTTCTGAGGAGCATTTTATGTATCTTTTAGAAACAGCCTGAGATCCTTTCTGGATGAAGGTTTGTTTGGAAGCAGTGTGAATGGTGAGGGGGTACATGAGGGAGACCCGGTCTGTCCTTACCTTATTCAGTGATGAAGGTTTGTTTGGAAGCAGTGTGAATGGGGAGGAGGTACATGGGAGAGACCCAGTCTGTCCTTACCTTATTCAATGATGATGGTTTGTTTGGAAGCAGTGTGAATGGTGAGGGGGTACATGGGAGAGACCCGGTCTGTCCTTACCTTATTCAGTGATGAAGGTTTGTTTGGAAGCAGTGTGAATGGGGAGGAGGTACATGGGGGAGACCCGGTCTGTCCTTACCTTATTCAGTAGGCAATCTTCTAAGCCTCCCACAGTAAGGGATTTCATGGCTTCTTGGTGAGTCCTGAGTAGAACAGCAACTTCCTGGTTTTTTTTTTTTCTCAATGGAGTGCAACACTTGTGAGTAAACAGCACTCCCAGTAATGTGAGTCTCTGGGTACTAAATTTTTCTGGAAGTGTGTAATGGACCAGAGACTTGCCTTCTGAACCCTTCACTCATGTTTTTATTTCCAAGTTGTGAAAATCCATCTGTCATCTTTTGGGAAATTAAAAAAAAAAAGAATTTAGAAAGAAGAGTTGATAAAATTGAATTTGAGTCCAACCTAATTATACCTTATTTAGCCACACTGACTGGTTCTTTGACCAGAGAGCAATTTTCCAAATTGTATTTCCCACCCAAGTACTTAAAAGTTCCACCCAAGTCAGAAATACCCTGTAGCTGGTTTCTCCTCACCTTTTATGCTCCTATCCCGACACTAGATGCACCGTGGAACTCAGTATCTTATATCTCCTCGTCCTTATCCTGTTGACAGTAAACACCCCTTGCTTTCCAATCCAGAAAATCCCACAGACTGATTTACCTTCTTTACAATAAACAAATACGAAACTGCCCAACAACCAGCCTGGCACCCATCATTATGCCCACAAACAAGTGATCAGGTCTTGTCAGTCAGAGCAGAGCACAACGGTTGGCATTTAGAAAAGCATGCACACACGTACACACAGGCACACACGTACACACAGGCACACACACGTACACAGAGTGCACACAGGCACACACCCACAGGAATGGCTGGTCAGGAATCCTTCTGCTCACCTGCTGACCTTTCAACGTAATTTCCCTCTTCCAACTCGAAAGCTGGCAGTAAAAATAAAGTCAGTGTAAACAGATCCCTTGAGAGTCGAGGGAACACTCACGTCTGGTTTTGCCAGCAAAACTTATGTTGGAAAACAGCTCAGGCAGTAAATTCCCAGCTGGGCTGGCCGGGGCTAGTTTTACTACAGAAAAAAAAAAAAAAAAAAAAAAAAAATTTCACAATGGTCTGATCTCCTTGAAGCTGGTAAACATCACAGAGTCTGCTATCAGATAATCTAAAGAAATTGCAGTCCTTCTGGGAGCACTGCTCACTTTTGAGCAATGTTCCAAAGGCAAGTGTTTCCAAGCCCACCTGTAAGTGCTGCCCACAAGGGCCACTCCATTATCTGGGGCCCCAGCATTTACATATCTTCCCATACTCTGCCCCAAGCAAAAGCCACATCAGAGCTCCCTAGCTGCTCTGTGCCCCACCCATGTCATTAGTTCCAGCTTTCAGTCCAGCTTCTACAGAACTCCTGCCAATGCACAGCCTGATATAAATATTGTAAAGCTACATCCTCTCCAATGACCCTCTGATAGCACCTCTCAAAACAGCCTTGATTTTCCATTTGCTTCTATATGTAATTCTAAATCTCCTTCTTTTGATATTAAGTGCTCCCAAATTTTTCAGAATCTTATTCCCTGGGCTTTTCTTATCATAGTAGTGCCAAACTATTTGTGTTTCACAGACGGCAAGAATTCTTTCTCCACCTCATTTTCAACATCACCAAAGTCCCACTGTTTCTCTCCTGTGCTCATTTTTGTTGTTACTTCTGCTTTCACTGTAATCATTAACTTGTGAGTCCCTCTCCTCCGGTAGGGTCTTTTCTAATGTTTGAGGGTTACCCCAGACACCTGTCATCAGATGCACAAACTTTCATCATTTTTGTACCTGTGACTGCCTTATCTTGATTGCTCCAGTATTGCAGCTGATCAAAATGTTATAACTGGAATATTCTCTTGCCCTAAGATCCAGAGACAATTGCCAGATGTGAGCAGGGAAAGCAGCCAACAGGGCCAACTGAGCAATTGGGAAACGAAGAAATAATCACATGCTCAGGGAAGCTACACAGTCCGATTTTACCGGGATGTCATATCCAGGGAATAGGTGTGTTGTGGGAGCACAACTCAGTTCCCTACTCCATGATATAGTTCCTTATGGACAAATACTCTGAAATACAGGGCAGTCCCACAAATACAGACTCTCTGACAGCTCCTGTCTGACAGTTTGATGAAGGCAAGCTTTTTTTAGATGTATATATCTGGGTAATTGGATATAGGATCCGCAAAAAGGGATCGAATTACAGTAAACCTAAGGCACTTGTATGCTAGGCCACTGAGGAAATTCAAAGTTAGCTCAAGTTCTCTTCCTTCCTCAGGAAATAAATATTCTCCTTTCTCGTGACTCACACCAAATGCAAGTACGGAAATGTAAATCTGCTTTGGCTCAGTTTCCATTGTGAAGACTAAGAACTTACTACAAGTTAGGTTAACAAGGCATTCAAAACCCTACGCTGTCAATCTGAGAAGTCTGGGGAGATAATGCTAGCCCTGGTTTACCAGCAGAAGTGTTTGTTACTGATTTACTTAGTGTCTGAGATTTTAATTGCAAGAAAGAGTAAGGTTAGTTTGATCCAAATCAACCTTACATACGCAAATTTGTTAAAGTTAGCCAGGGTTACAAACTCTGACTTTTTAAAAGATTTCCTGTAATCCCAGGATGACTCAGATTAAATCTGACAATGCAGAATACCAGACAGAGATAATCATCTGTGATGTGATGAAGTCCACAGTAGTGAACAACCTGAGGCAAGGGCCAGTCTATTCTGTATCTCCAGAGAAGCCTCAGGACCTAACACACAACTGACCCTCAATAAGCGTTACTGAATGTTTATTTGTTTGCATTAAACATTATGCAAAATGACATTATTAGAATGTCAGTAAATAAAATACAGTATTTTAAGGTGTGTAAAATCACCTTACAGATTATAAATTTAATGATATACATGCATCTGTGACTGCTTAAATTATCTTCTTTTATAGAAAGGCCCGATATAAAAAAATTTAATATAGTACTTGGCACATGATAAGAGCTCAATAAATATTTGTGTTTATACTCCATTTTACTCCCTGAGGAAAAAGATCTTTTTTTTTTTTTAGTGTTGTTTGGTTTCGTTGTTTGTTTTAAAATTTTTATTCCAATAGCTTTTCGCATACAAGTGGTTTCTGGTTATGCGGATGAATTGTATAGTACTAAAGTCTGAGATTTTGGTGCATTCATCACCCAAGTAGTGTACATTGTACCCAATATGGAGTTTTTTATTTCTTAGTCCCCTCCCAGGTCCCCCTTCTGAGTCTCCAAAGTCCATTATACCACTTTGTTTGCCTTTGCATACCCATAGCTTAGCTCTCAGCTATAAGTGAGAATATAAGGAATTTGGTTTTTCCATTCCTGAGTGACCGCACTTAAAATAGTGGCCCCCAGCTCCATCCAAATTGCTGCAAAAGACATAATTTTATTATTTTCATGACTGAGTAGTATTCCATGGTGTATATGTACCACATTTTCTTTATCCATTCATTGGTCGATGGACAATTAGGTTGGTTCCATATGAAAGATCCTTCTTTTAATGTATGTGAGTAATTCTCCTGGTCTTACCTGGTGGGTAGGATTGTTCACTGGGTTGGTCTTCACAGCTCCATCAAAAATCTGGTCTTTCCTTTCACATCTGACATGGTAACTGAGATAGTTTGAATTTGATCTTTGGTCTGGGTTCAGAGGTAGGGAACCCAAATACAAATGACTATATAGGCCAGGTGGGTAATAAAATTAATCAGGATAGAGTGGAATAATGGAAAGGGATGGGGGTCTGTGGTGGATGCAAGAGTACATAACTTATCTGGGATATTCTAACTTGTTTGGGTTATTTGTTTGTTTAATTTGTTTGTCTTTGTAAAGCAACACTGTACTATGCACAAGATTCCCCCCTGCACTCTGCACTCCTGCAATACTAAAATAGTAACAGTTCCCTGAAAGACTCCTCCCTCACCATCTTCTCTGAACTCTTGCACCAACAATGCTCACTGCTTGGACTCTCCCCTTACCTTCCACCCCTTCACTGGACTTCTATTTTTTCTCCAAGATTCATCTTAGCTGTCACCTGCTCCAGGGCCTTCTCTGATTCTCAAGACTGAGTGGGGGACTCTATACGATGCTCCTGGGCCTCCCAGTGCTAAACTCCTACTTTAGCTCTTATCAAACTGCATTTTGCTACTTTGCTTGTATCTAGCTCCTGTGGTACCAAAAGCTCCTTGAAGGAAAAGATTTACCTTGCTGGAAACAGTATTGGACATATAGCAGCTGCTTAATAAATGAATGAATGCATGCATGAATTAATGACTAAATGACAGTGAACCATTTTCTTATTCTACAATCTAATCCCATTCTATCTCCCATCTGCAGGCATAAGATAAAGTGAGAAAAGTAAAGTTAAATAATGAGTAAGCTCCCATTAGTTCATTTGGTAACACAACAAAAGTAGAAAAGGGATAAGGAAATTTTCCTGGAAAAGATGGATTTCAACTCGGAAAGTGCAAAACAGGTAAGATGTTGTGTACCTGAAGGAAGCCACTATTCACAGCCAAAAGGTGTCAGGAATGCTGAAAAACTGCCCAATAATTAGAACATGCCATGTAGAACTTAGAAGCAAAAACTCATGTCTTTGTAAAAAGTCATGGCTCCATCTGGCCATTTCAATTAAAAGTACATTATTTCCTAGCTGCAATTATTATCACAATACATACAGAAAGGACTAGTTCCCCAACATTAGACTGAAGGAGGAAAATAAGTTTATTTAACACCAACAATTCTACCACTGTAGAGCCTTGTGGTCAACAAGAAACAATGAGAAGTAACCAGTGCTGTCAACTCCAGCTCTCTATGCAGCAGAGATGACCTGTTCTAGTTACAAAATCATACATCATAAAAGATCCTGGTTTGGGCTGGGTGCGGTGGCTCACACCTGTAATCCTAGCACTTTGGGAGGCCAAGGTGGGTGGATCACGAAGTCAGGAGTTCAAGGCCAGCCTGACCAACATGGTGAAACCCCATTTCTACTAAAAATACAAAAATTCCCTGGGCGTGGTGGCGTGCGCCTGTAATCCCAGCTACTCAGGAGGCTGAGGTAGGAGAATTGCTTGAACCCAGGAGGTGGAGGTTGCAGTGAGCTGAGATTATGCCACTGCACTCCAGCCTGGGTGACAGAGCGAGACCCTGTCTAAAAAAATAAAAAATAAAAAATAAATAAATAAATAAAAAATTCCGGTTTGGGCTGGGGGAAGGGAGACTGTATCTGTTTCCATCTCTCCGCATGTCCATCCATCTATATTTTTATACACTAGAATGTCGTTCTAGATCTTCCTCATTCAAATGGTGCAAGCTGGAGGGCAACCCAGAAACTTAGTTTTAACAGAGACCAGTTGTCAATATAATGAAGCTTCTGCTATGGCTTGGATGACACTTTATTTTCAAATCAAATAGTAAAAGGTGTTTCCATTTTCACATTTTCCTTCCTGGTTTAAAAAAAAAAAAAAGAGTTGTGTTTTTATCTGAAACTTTTCCTTAAGTCTATGTGCAACTCCTTTCCCTCAGACCTGAGCCATGTGAGGCTGGCATATTTTTCAGTTGACACTACCAGAAAAACACTGACAGTGAGAAAGGCTTTTAAGAAAGAAGACAAAGCTGGGTACAGTGGTTTATGCCTGTAATCCCAGCACTTCGGGAGGCCGAGGCAGGCAGATCATCTGAGATCAGCAGTTCAACAGCAGCCTGGCCAACATGGTAAAAACCCTGTATCTACTAAAAATACAAAAATTAGCCGGGCATGGTTGGGGGCACCTGTGATCCCAGCTACTCGGGAGGCTGAGGCAGGGAGAATTGCTTGAACCCAGGAGGCGGAGGTTGCCATGAGCCGAGATCGTGCCACTGCACTCCAGCCCAGCCTGGGTGACAGAGTGA